ATTCCACAGTTTCGTTGCACTCCGTTTTAAGTAAAGGATAATCATAATCTTCAATTCTCCAAAATCTCTTCTTCATATCTGATACAAGAGCAGCTATTTTTGCTCTTTGGATATAGAGGCATATTAGGTAAAGCGTGCCCTAAAAATATGACTATATAACATTATGACAAAAACTAATCATTTTCGTGCGCCCCAAATTCTCATACGTAAAGCATTAGGAACCAAAGGAGATGGTTTTGCCATCCATACTTATTCTTCTTTTATTGTCTGTCCGAGCAGTCTAAACATTGAAATGCTTCAAATACCGTACGTTTAGGACGCTGAAACCGAAGTCATTCTGAACGTACCCGCGTCATTATTTGTGAAGAAATGCGAATATGATCCTGAGGAGATTCCAAATTGATCTTGGGTCGATTTTGAAGCAAAAAATTATCCTTTAGGGGTCAGTTCGAGTCGACTTGTGAAAAGTTGTTTAGAATATTTTTCAAAGTACTCACATGTACCTGCAGCATGACGTTGGTAAAAATATCAATCTTCTCTAAGAGCATCAGATGTCCACTGGTGTAAAAGAGCACGCTCACCAAATAGATCATGGTACCATATTGGGTAAGGAAAAAGTAAAAGAGGAACGATTGGACCCTGCTTCCGGTTTTTTCGGGATGTACCCCGTAGATATTGATAGCTTTGTAGCAATATTTCACAATGCTTACGTCCATCTTTCTGCGTGGGTTGTAGATAAAGAAGGGCCTTTATATTGGAATAGCAAAATGCAACGTCCAGTGGCGTTCCTAGGCTCTCTACTGTATAAAATCTCACTGGCTTTTGAATACTGGGTTTTTGCTGATATACTTATATTAGTGAAGTTCGGATAAGACTTGGTCTCTCCTTGAGCTGGTCTGGTATCTGGGCAAACGAACATGCGACATTTGATGAAGCCACTCAGAATCTAGTCTTCACGGGTGTTAATCAAGGGCATCAGCAGATATTTTTCCCAGGGTGCAAGGTGCAGGTGTATCACAGTCCTTGAAGAGCAAGGGGTTGCCAAAAAGTGCAACATAAAATAGGAACACGGGTAGCACACCTTCGATCCAAAAAGTGAAAATGGGAAAAAAACGTTATTCTGTCTGTTAGAATTATAGATGGAGAATCATCGCAGTATCCAAACGGGAACATTCGTGTACGTATGTAGGAAAATGGAAAACTGTTCCGTTTCATTTCAGGGTTTTTATTTTTAATTGATGCTTGAGCATTCATTGAATTTGTAACAGTTGTTTTCAATTGCATATAGGAAAATCACCGTTGATACATTTTTATTTCAATTTTCAAAAAAATTGCTTGACTCCTCCTATGATATACAAAATACCATTGTTCAGAAAGGGATTTTCCATTAATCATAAGAATAATCACTTTTCTAAGCTGCAAATGTAGCACAATAGCGGAATACGTCTACTCGTAATTACTAGAGGTGTTGTGTTAATTACAAAGCTCTGAAATCTGTTACCTTTCTTTTACATTCGTTCATTATTAATTTCGATACAGAGGATAACAGCTGGTAAGATGTTGTTCTTTGATACTTCCAATCAGGAGTTCTATCTTAAAGAGGAATGCATTAGTGCTTCGATAAGTTCAATGCGCCAAAATCAGTGCTTTTTCTTTAGTCAAATAAAATACCTCAAAAAGATTATTATCTAGGCGACATCTTAAACTATGTACATTTTCCTTTTCCAAGAAACTTTCTGTGTAAGTTCCAAAAATATCTAGGTATTTCTAAAAAGTTATTTTCCTAACAACCGAAAACCTCTTTAGAGTTCAATGTGAAGGACTGTATAGAGAGAACATTATTTGCTCTAACAAAGTTCCAGGAAAAAAAATGGTGTCAAGAGGATTGAATCTATGCCTCTCACGTTCTTGAAACAACTTCTAGTACAATTTTCCATGTGCGATAACATCAAAAATACGTAAGTTTTGTGCATGCACATTTGGGCTTTTCATGAATAAAACTTTCCACAGATTGCAGCAATGAGCCTCATCTCTTTGAGCTCTGGTGTAAAACTGCTGCTCAATGTTTATATAATTGCTCTTGATAAATGCTTAACTATATAATATTATGTCGCCGCGAAGCTTGCCTGCTGGGATCGAATACCAAAGATGCAATATTTATAAATAACCACATGGCGCACGGCATATGCGACCGATAGGCGATTCGTCGGCTGAAAATATTTTCTAAGTTTTAGGGCCAAAGGTACTAGGAAATTTGTGGTATGTGACATATGTCTAAAAAACGGCAAAAACCGAAGCTTGAGCGATATTTGTTTTGTTTTTTGCCAAAATCTACAAAGAGTTTTCGCCCTTGGCATAGTAGTAACATTATGTGAAAATTTCATCAACATCCGAGCAGTACTTCCAAGTAAATAGGTGGTCCAAGAATTAGCGGACAGACAGACTGACAGTCAGACAGACCGACGGAATTGAGTGACATGTTTTTTCGTGATGTACGACATAATATTAGGGTTGTTTCAAAAATAATGTTCCCAACGCTGAAACTTTGCCGCGCGTAATGCTAGGCGAAATCTATTTGTCGACTCCCCCACCCCCGATCCCAACAAGAAGCGCCTATTGGCGACGCTTAGTACCGGCCTGACAGCCATGCGCAATGGAACCCTTCATCGCCGTCACCGCCAGGTGGGAAATGTATATCACATACTGAAAACGAAACTCAGAGATGGTGAGAAAGAGAAAATTATCTAGACCAATCTGACATTTTACCAATTATTATAAATGTGAATGTGGAAGATAGTGATAGCATTTCAGAGAGTTCTAGTGACTATAACTTTTTTCAAATAAAATATATCTTGCCACTATTATTTATACGTAAGTCTTTATTCTGCGAATTTTGTATAATAAATAATTTGAACAAATTTCATTTCAATGTTCATTTTCCTTAGCTGTTTTAGAATGTTGTGTAATTTAACTTAAATTATAAACTTGTAATAAAGTTAAAGTATGGTTTGAGTCGGTAGTAAAACAAGTATCTGTTTTAAAAATTTTTATTCCTTTCCCTGTAGCCTATTTTTTATATTATTCTCCAAAAGTAAGCTAATTTCTGCTAGTCACTAATACGCATGGTACTGTAATGTTGGTTACGGTCTGCCACTGTCACTAGCTCTAGCGTTTACAATACATACGCTCCGTAATATTGGTTGCGGTAAGGCATCGAAGTCATAAAGTAGATTTTGTAAAGCGTCCTAGGATCTAGTAGTTTTAATTAATGTGGCAACAATGTGCGTCAGTGTTATTATTTGACGTTGTGACGTAACCGGTTTGATTCAGTGAATATACTGTACTTTACTAATATCGACGTCTTTTGTTACAATCTGAAGGGCCCAGTGCTAAGGATGGTCGCTTCTGCACGTGATGGAAGTGGCTGAGGATCCCTTGTGTGAACGCTGCGGGGTAGAGGAAGAGACCTCGGCGCACGTTTTGTGTCGCTGTGAAACTCTGAGCTACTATAGGCAGACTATACTGGGGTCCATTACTTTGGACCCTCAGGACGTCAAGGAGCTTGGACTCAAGGAGATTCTCAACTTCGCTAAAAGGGCGAGGCTTGTGATCTAAGGATTGTAGAGGTGCATAAGGGCCCGCTTAAGCGGCCTATGCACTGGCTCCTTATGGTGGCCGGAATGCCTCTAATTTCAAGATTCATTCATTCAATATGTCCGATTCCGAATCAAGTTACTCTGGAAGAGAGGAGCACAACAAAAGATGCGATACTCTCGAATACAGAAAATAAAAGAAAAGGAGCGGAATCTTTGAAGAAAGCTAAACATAGACAGGAAGCTTATAGGAAAGAGTGGGAAACCAAAGAGCCCCCGCCCCCCCGAGACGGAAATCTTCCTTCATCATGAATCCTGAGAGAACCTAGGATAATGTACGATAATTTTGACGTGTTTGTACGATGATCCCATGCGACGAATCTGGCAACGCTGTCGTCGCGTTCCCATGCACATTTGCTAGAGCAGTTCGGTAGCGTAACGTAACACTCCGTACATACAACGACAGATACAGCTCTCAATTCAAAAGCGGCTCAGGTATCCCCAGTATATTTTGCTCTATAATCAAAGCCAAGCGAATAACCAAAATTTCTCTGTTATGTGCCGCGGTTATAATATAGTTCAAGATGACACACGGGTTGATGACGTCAGTTACACGAATCGCTTGAACGCGTTGGTTTTAACCGCGGTTTTGTTGCAAGTTGTTTATTTTAGAAAAGCGCGTATATAATCTCTGATTATTTTTATTATCACTTAATAATCGGTGCTTTTTCGTCTACAACTGTATATGGAAAGTTTAAATAAGAAACCTTTCATAATATTCATGGGAGAAATGTTTTTTCAGATTTTTTTTTAATGATGGAACCATGGCTTTGTAGCTATGATAACTTTCAAATCTCTAAAATTTTCCACATGTCAAAGAAAACATTTATTGATCAGCAGAAATGATGAAAAAAGAAATTAGCAAAACCGTATACCTACAGGTGGATATCATCTAGTGAGTTTATATGGCCATATTTTAATATTCTTGTGGTATATGGCTACACAGAATACTTTGTTAAGTATAGGAACTACATTTAAAGTGTCCCCAACAACCGTAATGAGTATAACTAATAAGGTGCTCCACTTTATGGTAAAACAGAAGTCAGCCTGTATCAATTTTCTCAAAAATGAAGCTGAAGTACAATAACAATATCCAATACCCGGCAAAATTCTAATTTGTCACATTTCAAATAATAACCAGAAATATAAAACTACTCTTGAGTTGGGTAAATACCACAATTTTGCGGTGATAACTATGACATATAACAGCTGATTCGTGACGTCACGGATCTTATAACCAAACTGATAACTACACTCGCTTGAACGGATTGGTAAATACCAAGCCAAAATAGTAAATACCATTTCCATTTGGTTATCCGCTTGAATTTGATTTATGCATTTTTGACAGTGTTTTGACGCAGTTTTGACATATTGAAATGTCTTTGTTTTGATTTTAAATAGCAAATAGCTTTCAAAATAGAAAATTGATAAGACACCTGATTTCTACGAATTTTTCTCATATATTTTGTAGATACGATAGGTTGGCTGTTGTAATCTAGGATTGCATCATGCATTATCCTTGCTGTTGCAAAAACGTGATCATATGATCCCACTTTATTCATTTTTAGGAAATAATTCATTAATATTATTTAACAATGTATAGAAAAAGTAGTTAAATGTGGTTCACAGGAAACCAATTGACCTCTTATTCGACCAGTGCCCTGAGTCTTTGCAGAAAATAATCATTAAACCAAGAAGTTTCTGCATAGACCAATTCATAGAAATGATACAAAAGGTGATAATATCACTACTGATTTTCCTCTGTGCAACCCAGTATTCTCTAGGCAAGTATTCTTATGCATGTGATTCTTGTTTCAAGTATACATAGGTTGTAAAGTTTGTATAATTAAATACATATTTATGAACTTTAAACCATTGATGCCCCACTTGTTTTTCATACACCTGTACTCTTTTTTTGAAGTTTCACTAGCTTACCACCCATAAAGCCTTTACTATTTGTTTACAAGGTTTTTAAATGTGTTTCTCATCATCACTGAATTTCTTCATTTGCAAGCTAATGAACTTTAGCAACTTTTGTTAAAGTATTACAAATACGTTGATTTGATTCATATTCATTGTGTTTATTGTTATTTAGGTTCAATACACCAAAACCTGCGATATTTTGAAACAATACATGCCGATGACTTGGCGCACAAAATAGTAAAACGAGGCTTAAAAGAAAGCTCCCATCCTTACAACCACATAAAAGAAGTGCATCTTCATACACATGGTCGTGACTTTCGACTGATCCTAACTCCTAAAACTGACATTTTGCATTCCAACTTCAAAGCCTACGCTGTAGATGGGGATGGAAAGGAAACAACAGTTCATGTGGATAGAGACTCATTTCTCCATGGAAGGGTTTTCGGAGAACTTGAGTCTCATGTCAATATGCACTTGGATGAGGGAGTCATGACAGGAAGCATACATTTGCCAGATGATGTGTACCACATAGAGGTCAGTTAGAAAAGCAGATAGTGTAAGATCCCAGGGCTGACTAGTATTACTCATTTCCAAAACACAAAACATGGGGCATTGAATAGCCTATACAGTGGACCTCCGGTAATCTGACAAACATTATGCAGGGCAGTGGCGGACTATCGAATTTGTCGGATTATAGAGCCCTGCCTAAGACCCCCTATAGTCCGGAATTTTTTACAAAAGAGTACCTTGTAATCCTACAAATTACATATCCAATGGTAAGATTATATGTGTTATGTATATGTATGTACTTTGAACTACAAATCATACATAGTTCATGTATGTTGAATTTAGTAAATTAAATAACAATAGAGAGCTTACGTTTTATTATAAAATTAAGCATAAATGCACATACATATGTACCAAAATAATCAAGAATTATTAATCAAAATCATTAATGGATTTATCAAATTATGAAGCTTGTAAATATTCATCAATTTTTTTTTTGTTTAAGGTTCTTATAACGCGAGATCAGAGCTTTGTCCCTCAGTTTTCTCAAAAGTAAAAGTTCGTTGTAGGATGTACCATTCTCTTCAGCCCATTGTAAACCTAGCTCAAAGGCGTTAATTGCATCTTGTGCTGTGACTTGTGGAGCAGTTGCAATCACGTCGTCGTTATTTTCCTGGTTGTTTGTTGTATAATTAGAAACCTCTTTTATAATCTCTTCGTCAGACATTTCATGAAAAACATTTTCCTCTTTATCCATTCCACAGCACCAGATTTCCAAATCTAATATTAAATTCTTTTAAAGTTTTTTCTATTGGTTGGTTTTTTGATACGGGTCTCAGAAGTAGGTTTTTCTTGCTTGACAAACTGAATAATATTCTCGTCCATTGGTTGAATCAGTGCAGTGCAATTTGGCTGAAGAAACATCGCATCGATGCATTTATCCTCAGTTGTTAGTTCTTCTTCAGACGGGAGCGTTATCAAGAAGCAACAACGCTTTTTGAGGAAAATTATGATCTTTTAACCATTTTCTAACTTCAGGTACGAAGCATTCATCAAACCACTTTTTGAAAAGGTCTTTTGTCATCCATGCACTTTTTTGTCCGTAATAGTGTACAGGTAAATCAATGTTTTTGAATGCCCGTGGTTTATTAGATTTCCCAATAACCATCATCTTAAGCGCGTGTGTGCCCGCAGCGTTAGCACATGGTAGTATGGTTACACGCTCTTTACTTACTTTTCGTCTAGGTACGGATTCTTCGTTACAAGAAACGAACGTTTTGTTAGGCAACACACGCCAAAAAAGCCCTGATTTGTCTGCATTGTACACCTGTAACGGGTCAAGATTTAAATCGTTCACCTTTTGCAAAAATCTTAATAAAAAGGGCTCAATGCAGGTGGCATCGTTAGAAAGTTTCTCTCCTGTAATAGTCATTAAACGTATGCCATGACGACTTTTAAAACGTTCTAGCCATCCTTTGCTGGTCCCAAAATCATCTTTTTTTGTTATTTCCTTATAAAAAAACTTAGCTTTCATGGCCATCATGGGTCCTGAAATTGGTGCATGCCTATTTCTTTCCTGAAGAAACCACATGTACAAAGCTTCTTCCACTTCTGGATGTTCAGCTTTCTTGAGTGTCTGTCTCTTGCCTGGCCCGCAGTCAGTAGTTGACATGGACTTCTTGATCTTCTCGTGGTTTCTTTTAATGTCATAAATTGTAAATCGGCGTACGCCGTATTCACTTGCTAAACTACTGAATGTTTCATTGCGATTTAAGCGGTCTAAAATATCACATTTTTCTTTAATTGTCAATGTTTTGTGATTTCGCTTCTGAGTTTGTGATGACATTACTAGGTACTATACTTAATACACAATAAATAAATAGTAAACAATGAAAGCACGCTAGGCCGTACCGCTATCACCAGTAGTCAAATTCAAACTAAGTAAAACAATGCTTACGCGTCGAGCACGAAATCGGTGGCGCGTACAAGTTGTAACCTGTTCAAACCTGCGTGTTCTACATTAGCGAAGATTGTCAAATACGTATGTATGTAATACATATTCAAAGACATGTCGGATTACAGGGGGCGCCGGATTAGACAGGGGCCGGATTATCGGGGGTCCACTGTATATGTATGTACTTCAAATATCTGCTCAGTTGAGTAGAGAGGCGATTTTCTGGTACCAGGTGAGAAAGGTGAAGTAAAAGTAAGACTAACTTTACTTTAATTCTGATAACTGAGTCTTATAATTCACTTTGAAAAAGTTATTACAAAGTGATATACAGCACTGCCAGATACTTTCCGACAGCCATAATTCTTGCCAGATGCTTTAAACAATGCGTCCTGCTAAAAAATTTCCTCCTAACTTTGTTGTATGTGCTTTTAGAGAAAAAACTAACAAGTAGTTGTCTAATATAACATTTTTTATGCTGTTATTTCTGTATACAGATTGTCAGTACTATTGAATAGAGTGTCTTGTTTAAATAAATACAACTTTATTCACTAGAATTTACCTGAAATATCACAAAAGAAACTTGCATGACAAACTCTATATTTCCTTTAATTTGGAGGGAGGTGATTTTACATACAGGGTGATTCACAAGTCATGACCAAAAATGAAACATCATACACAGGACAGCATTTTAAAGAGGTCTTCTATGTAAAATTTTTTCCTCAAGGGCTTCATTAAAAAGATGTAGTGTTTTTTTAATATCTTCAAAACTGTCAACTGGAACGAACTAAAATTTGGTATGTGGTATAGTCCACATTCAAAAGTCTTTACTTAAAATTAACGTGCACCAATGGCGGAGATACAGAGGATTAATGGCATTATTTTTCCAAATAAAAATATTATTTTTTTAATCTCAACACCCCGTATCTTTTTCATGAAGCCCTCGAGCTAAAAAATGTTACAGAGAAGACTCCCCTTAAAATGAACGATGTTACATTTTTGGTCTCTACTTGTGAATCACCCTGTATATGAAAATTATAATTTAATTAAAGTTAGTCTTATTTTTGTTATTCTTTCTCACCTAGCACCACTATACTGGAATATTACCTTATCAGTATAACGAATAATGCCTGGATCATATATCACCAACCTGGGTTTTTATGTGGTTTCACTGAGGAGGTGAAACACTCAACCCACATTTGAGACAGCCTCATAATTTTCAGCCATCTTGGAGACACTTATCTGACTTTGACAACAAAACAATGATCACATACAAACAGTCTGACGTGAAATTCAGCTGGGACCATCCCGGTGAAAATGAAGAGGAACCCAGACCAAAAATATGCGGATATGTCAAAGAAGGAGCTGAACTAGAGACAGATGACGATGATGAGGATTATGAAAGAGATAAATGGACAGCAGACCAACATCACCGCGAGAAAAGGCAAATTGATCAGTATGAGTATACACCTACAAAGACCAGGTGTCCATTGTTATTGGTGGCGGATTATAGGTTCTTTCAAGAAATGGGTGCTAGCAATACCAAGACTACCATCAATTATCTTGTAAGTACCGAACACCGGGATCTGATCTGCAACTTGTCTTCTACTTTACCAAAGAGATTCTGGGCGGGCAGCATGCTATTTACATTTTCGGTAGCGTTTGAGTTAAGTTTCCCAATACATCGACTCGCCGGTTCGAGTCTGCGCTTTGGAAAGTAATTCCGCCAAATTTAAATCTCGAAGTACACACACTGACATCTTGTGTATCAGAATTATGTTTTTCTTCTAGATAAGTTTGATCGATCGTGTGCACAAAATTTACAACGATACGAGCTGGCAGGATAGACAAGAAGTAGATGGGTTCAAAGGTATGGGCTTTGTTATCAAAAAGATCGTGGTACACAGCGATCCTACACGTATAAAAAGCGGCGAGGCTCACTACAATATGATCAGAGACAAGTGGGACGTTAGGAATTTGCTGGAGGTAAACAACAAAAAGAGATATTATATATGATTATATATATATATATATATATATATATATATACATACAATCAATTGTTAATTGCGAAATTGGCAAATTTTTTTTAGGCCTTAGTAAACTCTTTTAACGGTAATCTCGAGCTTTTGGCTTCTCTATGGAGCCATCTTCAGGAGCTGAAAACACAAATATAAAGCTAGCTCCTGAAGATGGCTCCATAGAGAAGCCGAAAGCTCGAGATTACCATTAAAAGAGTTTAAAAATTTTGCCAATTTCGCAATTAACAATTGATTGTATTTCTTGTCCAACTGGTCGGTCGCAATGGCAATGACTACTGCTCATATATATATTTAAAATGTTCAAGTGCACTCTGCATAACTTCTAATATTGAATAATTTAATAAATGTATCACCTCTCAAGCTATTTTTACTCGAAACCAGCACAATAATATATAATTTTAATAATATTTTCAATAACAACATAATTTAATAATCTTAATATAGATAACTTGAGCTACACAAGAATTCTTAATAATACAACATTCATTTTGGTGGATTTAAATTGTGCTGAACTTAATATTTTATGAACTGATTGCGGCGTTGCGTAGGACGTGCAGTCAACCTACTTGACGCCTTTTTTTAGAACTGTAACTAATATTCCCGTAGGTATTCTCCAGAGATCCCCAGCACCAAAATTTCTGTTTGGCGCACCTGTTCACCCACCAAACCTTTACAGCTAGTAATTCTGTAGTTCTAGGCTTGGCTTACATAGCATCGCCTAGAAGGAACACCCAAGGAGGCGTCTGTAGCAAGGGTTAATAATTTTTATTTTCTTTTCCGTCTGCGTTACGCCTCTATATGATTAATATACGAAAAATTGATTAGAAAATAGGACAATAAATGTCCACATGTTGCTTCGTCGTTTCTTCTAACTTTAACTCCATACACTGCTAGAGCACCAAGTATAGTTTCTGGTGGAAGCACCATATACTATGTTTTTCCATTCTCTGTAATCATATACAGGGTGCGGCAGAGAGTACGGGGTAGTAGTCTCCGCCTCCGTCTACGAGAGAGGTGGGGAGGGTGCCGTTTGACTCGTGAGATCCTAGCATTATTTTATCAGTTGTCGTTATGGAGCCTTGGACGGTGGAACACCGCGTTTTCGCCTATGATTGTTTCGTCCGAAATAATGAGTCTGTCATCGTCGTACAGCGTGAGTTTCGTCGCCACTTATACATTCATCGGAATAGAGCTGTTCCCTCTCGAAACACCATCCTTCGTTGGGTTGAATCACTTCGAAGGCGTGGTGAACTGATCAACAGAAGACCAAGAGGAGCGCCGCGAACAGTTCGAACTCCTGAAAATGTTGAACGCGTTCGACAGGTCTTTTTTCGCAGTCCGACTCGATCTGCCCGGAAACATGCTGCTGTACTTGGCCTTAGTGATCGTTCGGGAAGGCGAATTTTGCATATGGATCTCCGCTTTCACCCCTACAAGTTGGCCATTGTGCAACAGTTAGAGCCCGGAGATTATGCACAACGAATGAACTTCGCACGTGAGATGGAAGCACTGATCGATCAAAATGAGAACCTCATTTTGTTTATGAGTGACGACGCCCACTTTCACCAAAACAGCATGGTTAACCAGCAGAATTGTCGTTATCGGGCTAATGACAGTTACACGAAAGACCGCTGCACAACCCAAAAGTAACGGCTTGCTGCGCGGTATCGCAAACTTGCATCATTGGCCGTTACTTCTTCGAAGACGGTAATGGTCGTGATGTTACAGTGAACTCAGAGCGCTACGTCGACATGATCATCAACTTATTTCTCCCTGAATTACGACGGCGACGTGTTCCAATCCGACGTGTGTGGTTCCAGCAGCCCACATAGCCCGAGCATCCATGGACGTTATTCGCCCTCTCTTCCCTGGTCGCCTTATTTCCAGGTTTGGCGATGTTCATTGGCCTCCTTGGTCCCCAGATTTATCTATATGCGATTTTTTCTTATGGGGACACCTCAAGGCTAGAGTATACGCGAACAAGCCCCGAACTCTGGACGAATTGAAGGGCGAAATTCGCGTGGAAGTCGCCCAAGTGGAGAGGGCGATGTTGGAGAGAGTCTACGCGAACTTCCAAGAACGCCTCCAGCACTGCATCAACGATTTCGGCCACCACATGCCTGATGTGATTTTCCACACTTGACTGTCTCAAATGCTATTTCCTTGTGAACCTGATTCCATCAATAAATTTGTTTTCGAGTATAAATTAACTATTTTATGATTTTTTTAAAACCGTCCATCCTCTCTGCCGCACCCTGTATAATAGCCCTGTTCGGATTCTATAATACAAACTATCCCAGAACTATCCTGATTCTGGGCAGTAAATTCTTATGTCAGAACTTATACTGATAGGCATTGTCTATAATATTGGCAGAATCAGAACGGTTCTGGGGAAGTTCCAAGTAAAACCCAAACAAGGCTAATATCATAAGAATCTTTTTTCATTCCAAGAATATGCCACTGACTAGAGATGAAAATAGTTATACAGTCTGGGTAGTCTTAACATCTGATAAGCCGATATTCTGATTTGAATTTTTTACATAATATTGTTCAAAAAGGACCAGTTTTAACGAATCTGCATGTTGCCAACCCCAAATTTGTGTCAAAAGATTTTCAACCAATGGTTTCACATATATTCATAAAATTGGTGTCAAAGTGTTTTTTAGATTTTTTGGGGCATTCTGAAGAAAAAAATGTATTCTAGAAGTCTTCTCGAGTTGATGAATGTTTCCTAAATATTCTTTAAGGAGCGATTAACAAAATTCCAAGACATGTTAGGGGGCACTGTTATTGCAACTTTTTTTAATTGTTATTCAAGCACGCACACAATGTATATTCTTCACGAGTGTGACAGAGATCTCCAAATAAGGTTTATTATAACGATGAACCTTATAATGCTTTGGGATTTTGTTAATGGTCATTTAAATAATATTTAGGATGTTTTACAACATTTTGTTTTTTTCATACTGTTTTTCGGGGTAGAAAATGGTATATTTTGCACTTTTCCAAATATTGTATCCCGAAAATTTTTAGAAAAATGTCCTAAAACATCTTTTTTGTTGAGAACGTCCTGGAAAACTGAACAACTCCGAAACAAAAACAAATTTTGAACCTTTGATGCAAATTTGGGCTTGGCAACATGCAGATTCGTCAAAAGAGGTCGTTTTTAATAAGATGCTGCAAAACATCGGAATACGAGTATTCTACCTGGCCTAGGTAATTTTTATGAAATTACGTCCTACAGGTATTTCCTATGCAATTTTTCGTAGTAAAACTATAATCATGATACAGGCTTTGTGATGAAGTATTAGAGCAATGACGTATACTAAAGCTGAAAATATTTCCAACTCAGGAGCTTCAGTAGAACTATCGTTTATGGTAACTTGATTATACTCATTCGATGCATATACTAACTTTTCTTTTTATAACATTCCATTTTCTACTAACCAATCATTGGGCAGGTGTTCAGCAGGGAGTATACTCACAAAGACTTCTGCTTAGCTCATCTATTCACCGACTTGAAGTTTGAAGGTGGAATATTGGGCTTAGCATACGTGGGTTCGCCGAGACGCAATTCGGTGGGGGGCATTTGTACCCCAGGTATTTGAATTTCAACTCTCCTGTATGCCATTCTTTTATTTGAGGTTATTTTGTTTTGTGTGCTTGGGAAGCTCGTGTTAAAGCGAAGGTTTACAAATAAGGAAGAGATGGAACGATGGAAATTAATAATAATTTAAGCCTGCTGAAGTGGACATGTGTATGCAATTAGAGGTATTTTAACGGTTTTTGGTGGCCACGTCGCCATTATCATAGGACGTATGTAAGTACCAAGAACAGCTATGGCTTTTTTCACGAGTATCCATTCCGTTTTGACGTTTACTAAAGTTTATTAAGGTCTGTAGAGTTGGCAATAATGAATCGTGTAAAACTCAGGACCGTATTCAGAAATGTTTAAACAAAAAATCAAAAACTGTTTATCTTATTTTACTCCTACTCGACTTGCAATGTAGGGTATAATTTTAATAGATGGCTGAAAATGCAGGATATGATTCCTTATCTCATTTTAGGAAGAACAGTTTATATAAGCATATGTCCTAAACCTCTTTGAGCTACAGGGTGTTAAAATTTTAAGAAAACATTCGTTAACTTATCATAATTTTAACACTGTTCTAGATATTTTCATGGCATTTTGACAAGTACGCATAAACGTGAAATTCCGAGTTAGCAGATATGTATTTTACCTACGGACTTGCTGATACGACTAATATGGTATAAATTATGATGAACATTTGGCATATCGATTTATTTTCGCAATTCTTATCTCAGAAAGGTTGTTCCATCTCATCTTTTTGGATAATTGTGCAGTCCTTTTGGATCTTGTGTATTGGGTAGCTTGATTTATGTTAATTTGGGTTTTGTGTCACTCATTTTTCAAAGCATGCGTTTAAATTGCTCGTGCCGTTTTGGATTTGCAGCTTGTATTATGATAAGAAGTATTAATAGTTTGTAAGTCTTATAGGATATTAATTATTGTTAAATGAACGTTGAAGATTTCATTGTAGAATTATGCACCCGTTTTTTGACCATAACTGTAGCTTAGTTTTTTAACTTTGACATGTTCTAATGTTGATTTTGTATAAGAGTAAGATGCGTATGCTTATTAACAATAAAAAAAGTAATGTTTTTATGGTTATAACTTGATGATAGTATTGAATAACATATTTCACTAGAAGATACCCAGACGAACTTACGCGGAAATAAGTATACGTACCGGGACACTATATACCACCACCATTAGGTGCCAGCGTTGCCACCTCGCCGACTGTTTCCTCAGATAATGGAATTTCCTTTTCCAACGTTGAAAAATTCTTAGAATACAAAATCTTAGGAATAATTACGAGAGAGGTTGAATAAGTAATTTTCTTTAAAAAGAAAATGAAGTCTGTTTTTATTACTTCTAGCGCGGAGGTTCTCAAATTTATCTCGTCTACTGCCCATTTTGAGAATGAATTATTTTCTAGCGCCGCTCGAAATCATTCAGGAATATGTCCGACTGGGGGATTTGCGATTAAAAATTGAAGAGTAGGGTGGCTTTGGGTCGTATGCTGCATCAGTACTTCTGAAAACGCACGACCTTATGACATCTGAAGAGCGGGATGGTATTGACAGGTCCCGTAGGTCAACAACGCCCACTTTGAGAATTAATGTTCTAGAGGGATCGGGGGTAAACTGGAAAGCTAGAAGATGATGCATGTTAAGGTTGGAGATCGTCTCTTAGATGATAAACAAGGATGTTAATTACTGATCGGCTGTTCGCGTCAGTAGACGTTAAGACGTTAGAAAGTCGTTAAAAAAAATGAAAATTGGACATCGGTGTCATTGACAAGATTTCTGTGGCGATGAAAATTGTATATGAACGCCTAAGTATACGGTTGATCATCTTCTTAAATCACGCGTTAATCAATGATGACATAAAGATAGGTGCATATCCTGCAATGAAATCCTAGCTTACCACAAGGAGTGTCAATTCATGGAACACGAAACAAAAAAAACAAAATAGTTTCAAAAATATAAAAATCACCTGTTTTTATTTTCTGCCTGGTCAAGAAATAAAACCACAAATAATGAACGAATGACCTCAGTGACGTTTTGTACTTATCTATAAAACTCACTATGTCGCAATTGACACTCCTTCCTAAAACTAGTCCTCTAAAAGAAGATTCAATATTTTGACCTGGCTTATTCCCATTCTCTAGAATACTTTAAAAATGGTTACACCCTCTATTTAAACTCGGGACTGAGTTCTAGCCGTAACCATTACGGGCAACGTGTTATCACTAGGGAGGCAGATCTAGTGACCGCGCATGAATTCGGTCACAATTGGGGTTCAGAACATGATCCTGATATTCCAGAATGTTCACCTAGTGCCAGTCAAGGTGGTTCCTACCTTATGTATACGTACAGTGTTAGCGGATACGATGTCAATAATAAGGTATGTGAGGGTTGATAATGAATGTTATAATACTGAATCTGTTGTCATTCAGAACTATTTTCACCAAAAATATTGATATTTGAACCACGTATGTTTCCATTTTGTAGAAATTTTCACCGTGTAGTTTGAGGTCGATCCGTAAAGTGTTACAAGCCAAATCAGGCAGATGCTTCTCAGAACCGGAAGAAAGCTTCTGTGGTAACTTGAGGGTCGAAGGTGACGAAGAATGTGATGCTGGTTTACTTGGCACTGAAGACAACGATGCCTGCTGCGATAAAGATTGCAAGCTACGGCCTAAAGCTATGTGTAGGTGAGTTGGACCGTATTGGAATAGGTCTGGGCAATTTTCGGTTAAAAATTGATTGCGCGCTGGCCGAGCATTGTTCTATTGTTCTTGAATCTTAAATCTTTCAGTGACAAGAACTCGCCCTGCTGTCAGAACTGTCAATTCGTACGCGCCGGCGCGAAATGCAGGGACGCCCAATACGCGACTTGCGAACAGGAATCTAGATGCACTGGGCAACAGGCCGACTGTCCACGGAGTCCGCCCATGGCAGACAATACCGATTGTCAGGAAAGAGGAAAGTGCAAGGCTGGGAAATGCGTGCCATTTTGCGAGACTCAAGGGTTGCAAAGTTGCATGTGTGACATCAGTAAGTAGAAACAGGGAAGACTAATTCATGAATCGTCTGAAAATTGCCATATTTTTACCCATTACGATTTTGGCAAATTAGTCTATACGCGAAAACGCATAATTTCTCATCAAAATCTAAATCGATGGATTCACAGAAGAATTGGTACCTGAGGGTTCAATAGTATATTTTCAAATACATATTCTGTTTGTGAGAGGCAAACCTTATGTTAACCTCATTTAACACTTACCTTATGTAAATCAAAAAGCGAACGCTAACTTTTACGTCCGCGCTATTTGGGATTGTCATAACTCCCGAGTTTGCCGGATACAGACACGCTAAATTATATATTTTTCAGTTGAAAGTGCTTGCAAAAGATGCTGTAGGTCGAACATCAACGAAACATGTTCACCAGTCGACTCTGCTGACATCTTGGCCGATGGAACGCCATGCATACAAGGATTTTGCAATAACGTGAGTATTCAAATATTGTTAAACCATGTCCTAGTTTAACCTTCCACGGAGACACTACACCTATAGCTCCTCATCTGCTCCTGAAACGTACTAAAAAAGTTAATGTAATTCGAAAACGATAGAAATGGCGGGATGACACTATCTGGAAATGTTGTACAGCAATTCAAATGACCCTTATTCCACGTATTTTTTGCTGCCCATATCGAATCCGAGGTCGTTTTATATGTATGTGACCCCGTTTATGATGTAGATCTAATTACTTAGCGAAAAATCGCAAAACTAGGCGTTTTTTGCGACTTTAAGGTGCTAAAAATCCATTTTTACTATCGATGGCTACATGAGAGCGGAGCTTTGCACAATGACGTAATTTGGGGCACTGAATATGAATATCACAGTGAATAATTTCTTAAGTGTTATCAGACGGAATTTAGGGTGAAAAGTTCACGAGAAACTATTTTTCCGGGCTATCCGTAAATTCTAGCGATGTATCGACATCGAATTTGGATTTACCCAGAAAACAAGTTTCCATCTCGCTCATAGACGCGCAAGGGTTTTTAGAAATTTTTTATTAGTCGTTTTTTGACAAAGTTGAATTCTTGCCAGTATCTTGAAAACGATGCATTTTCGGACGGAATGGGCCATGGATTCGGTTTCAGCGAAAAAGCGTATTATAAGATATGTTGCGTTCATGTTCCCGACTGACCATTTTGTGACTTTTTGGTAAGAATACCCCTATACATGGTAATTATATGTTAAAATGCTTTAAATTCAAATGACCCTTATTCCACGTATTTTGGGCTGCAGTTATCGAATCCGAGGTCGTTTTATATGTCTGTGATCCCGTTTATGATGTAGATCTAGCCGTAAATTCTAGCGATGTATCGACATCGAATTTGGAATCTATGCACCCGATTTACCCAGAAAACAAGTTTCCATCTCGATCATAGACGCGCAAGGGTTTTTATAAATTTTTTATTAGTCGTTTTTTGACAAAGTTGAATTCTTGCCAGTATCTTGAAAACGAGGCATTTTCGGACGGAATGGGCCATAGATTCGGTTTCAGCCACCCAAAAAGCGTATTATAAGATATGTTGCGTTCACGTTCCCGACTGACCCATTTTGTGACTTTTTGGTAAGGAGACCCCTATACATGGTAATTATATGTTAAAATGCTTTAAATGCGGTTCAAATGACCCTTATTCCACGTATTTTGGGCTGCCGATATCGAATCCGAGGTCGTTTTATATGTATGTGACCCCGTTTATGATGTAGATCTAATTACTTGCGAAAAATTCCAAAACTATGCGTTTTTTGCGTCTTTAAGGTGCTAAAAATCCATTTTTACTATCGATGGCTACATGAGAGCGGAGCTTTGCACAATGAGGTAATTTGGGGCACTGAATATGAATATCACAGTGAAAAATTTCTTTAGTGTTATCAGACGGAATTTAGGGTGAAAAGTTGACGAGAAACTATTTTGCCGGGCTAGCCGTAAATTCTAGCGATGTATCGACATCGAATTTGGAATCTACGCACCCGATTTGCCCAGAAAACAAGTTTCCATCTCGATCATAGACGCGCAAGGGTTTTTAGAAATTTTTTATTAGTCGTTTTTTGACAAAGTTGAATTCTTGCCAGTATCTTGAAAACCAGGCATTTTCGGACGGAATGGTCCATGGATTCGGTTTCACGGACCCAAAAAGCGTATTATAAGATATGTTGCGTTCACGTTCCCGACTGACCCATTTTGTGACTTTTTGGTAAGAATACCCCTATACATGGTCATAATATATTAAAATGCTTTAAATGGGGTTCAAATGACGCTTATTCCACGTATTTTGGGCTGCCCATATCGAATCCGAGGTCGTTTTATATGTATGTGACCCCGTTTATGATGTAGATCTAATTACTTAAGGAAAAATTGCAAAACTAGGCGTTTTTTGCGACTTTAAGGTGCTAAAAATCCATTTTTACTATCGATGGCTACATGAGAGCGGAGCTTTGCACAATGAGGTAATTTGGGGCGCTGAATATGAATATCACAGTGAAAAATTTCTTAAGTGTTATATATAGATGTTTCACTTCTAAAGAGCTGAAAATAATTAACTCTAATTACTTTTATATAATTAGTTATGGGTTTTTTCCACATAATATTAGAAAGAATCCCAGGTTCCGGCTATTGAATTCCATAATACCACTGTATAGCGCCACTATTATTTTCTTATTTGAGCATATTTTCACTACAAGATTTTCAGGGACATTGCGAGAAAACAGTGCAAGATGTAGTCGAACGATTCTGGGACATCATAGAAGATATAAACATCAACAAAGTACTACTTTTCCTACGAGATAATATTGTTGGTACTGTTGTATTGGTTACTGCATTGCTTTGGATCCCAGCTAGCTGTGTGATTGGATACGTTGATAGAAAACGTAGAAGAGAGGCATCTGAAAGGTAATTATTCAACACCCTTGCGATTTTGGACTCCGCTATATCCATAGATTCACTCAAGGATTTCTATATCGAAAAGCGCCATCTATTACCCGAATCTACAACTACGAGACTGAATGGCAGCGTCACCGTCAGTCACCACCGCTAGAGGCCGATGGTTCTGGCGGTATAGTAGACGTGTTCTACTCGCCATTGACGTCTGGATAGTTACCAACTTCGAAGTGGTGATGTGAAAATTTGTTCAAAAATTTCCGTTTTTTTAGGTGGGAATGGCGAAATAAATCTGACCTGATACATCCCGCAGATGACATTAGACATGTGATACATTTGAGAGTACCAAACAAATCGAGAGGTGCGACTCAACAATCTAACAGAGTGGTGCCAGAATAAATTTTAATTGATTATGTGATATTTTGGGGAAGGTGTCTTTTATGTGATCTCAAGTACCATAAGCAAAAACCAAGTTTTTTTGTGAATTGTTCTGTTGAGATATTTAAGTGTAAAGTAGTGTATGTTAAAAATGCTTCCAAGTTTTGCGAAACTCCGCCATATCTACCAATTCGTCTATTTCTAGGGACTAGTGAACTATGGCTTTTCTAAACTCAGATTGTGTCATATCTTATTTGTTTCCTCGCATAAACTAAGGCGCATTAACCTTGACACACTAGCAGATCTAGGTGGTATGTTACCATTACTTAACATAATTATGTTGTGTACCTGTAAGAATATGGATTCGTGATAGCAAGTACTTAATATATAACATATTTATTCGTTAATAAATGTATTTGTACTTAATTTGTGTTTCAGTGACCCTATTACAACAACAAAGTTTATATGATTACAAAATCGGTATAGAGTGTATGTATGATTACAAGACAGACTTTGAAAGATCACTGGTTCAGAAAATGCTGCGAAAATTATCACTGGCACAGTGTTTCAATATAAAAATTAGCCTACTTTTTTGTCAGCCTTAAAATTAGTATTTCGGGACTAGAGTACACTAGGGATTGTTCTGTCTGAGGAATGAAGCTCACTTCAAAAGATTCTTTCACATTTTCCAAAAACTCCTTCCAACATTCCCTTTGCTTTTGGCTATCTCTCAATTCTTGACATAATATTATGTTTGTCTTTTCTGTAGCCAGTTGACGTAGCGTTGATACTAAAGAGCCTACCACCTAAAAATATTTTAATTCTTAAATATATGTACAATCGAAAGCATAAAGAATTGTGCAACGCTCTTCCTGTTTTTATAAAAATTTCAGAATGATTGGCTTATCAAAATGTTTTAGGAATTTCTGTCGCTCCTGAGCACCTTCTCAATCTCAACATACCTGAACCCACTTCCGCACACTACGCCACTCATTCCAATTTTCCCTTACATAGAGAGAGCGTTAGGAGATTCTTTTTGCTTTCGATTTTATACCGTCAGTAAAGCACAAGAAGAAAGTTTCTTTAGCTAGTTGATACAGGTTAACCTTAAACTTGGGACTTTCCTTTACACAGCGTATAGTTATGTAACAATAAGCAAATTTTTTAGTAACACATATACCAAAACCTTAAGATAACCGAGACATTAGATTCCGAAGAAGTCTGAATGGGCTAGCCCTGCCCAGCAACCAACGTGAAAAGTGAAAAGGTGAGACGTGCGTCATATCTAAATCAGCCGCAAAAAGTTTGTACAAATGCACTGACGGCTAGTACGTTTTTTGTATATAATATCTACGACTAAGTGACCCCTCACTAAAAGCCTGGATCCGTCTTTTAGACGGAACATTTTTCTGGATATGCCAGTGTACAAATCAAATTTGAAAACCTGAAATTGGAATATGCCTTCACCGATGACGCAGTTAACGATTTGACGTTCGTTTGCCGCTACAAGATGATATTGATGCTTCTCGAGTGTATTCAGATTATTGTCCTGGATGTTTTCATCCCGAGTTGCGTAGGCTTGTTTATACCGTGCAAAGGCCGTCGAGGTGGATGCAGTAGAAGACGTCCCAAATGTTTCAGATTTAGGAAGATATGGTAGTGATTGAAATCCCTTACCAAAGGAATAGTAATTACTTTTTTCAATTTCTTTTTTTCTTTATCGCTGCTGATGTAGCTAATTAGCTTTCTTATTTCCTAGTTCTACTAACTCTAAGCATTTCAAAAATCGGATTAACATTAGTGTCTTTAAAGCTCCTGGTAGCACCTGCAGTGCCCGGTATTCAGGCGTCAGTCTGTGCGGATGTTTCGATATAAAAAAACGTACTCGTTTCGGAGAAAGAAAGCCTCAATTGTTAATACACCCTGTATATATAACAATACATTTTTGAGGATACCTCTTTGTAGTATATGCATTCGGCCAATAAAATGACATCTGGCGTACAATTTATCTTGCACGGCGAACCCCAGTCGAGTGCTTCAATTTCTACGCAGCCTTTTAGTTTCGATTTATTTTCTTCGACGTTCTGTCTCAGCAGAGGTAAAGCTTGAGGTAGATCTGTTAGAAGTACATTCGCCCTGAAATACTTTTTCACATTAATAATCGTATCAAAAGATAGCTTTATGGTACTCCGTATTTTTCAATTTTACGCAGGCGATTTCAAGAAACGGAGAAAATAACTGTAATCGGTGGAGCCCATATAGTGGGACGATACCAAACCAGGAAGGTGGAGTGACAGATGACACGGCGGTGCATGCAGTCTCGCCGGCCCTGTAACGTGCTCGGCGTTCTGGAATCCGATCACGTGTCATATGCGTGAATATATTAGGGTTTAGTTTCTTTCTTCGATAAATGGACTATAGTTTGTTGAATGATATAGTGTCACAAAACCCTATCTGAAGTAGGAAAATGAGAAAAACTGATATCGGATTCCAAACCTACGTATTCGATTACCTAACAGACGAGTTTTTGGTCGATAATGCAGATATGCCGGTGATATTGGAAAGTTTTTTTATCAAGTTTTCCAGTGCAAGAATTTTATTTTTTTCTTCACTCGTTAGAAGCAAAAGCAACTCTGTACACCCTGGTGTAATTTATTGGGACGGTGAATTCGAATATGATGACCACTGAAAACCACTCCAAGACATATTAGCGTCTTCAAAAGTCGCTCAGCCCAAGTCCTAGTTAACAATGCCGAGGCACCCTTCCAACCGGCTTTGCTTTTTCTCTTCCGTCCATTTTTTCAGTATGACCGACTGGTATCTGGGCAACCAGGCCTATTGACCTCTGGCACTTCAACCAAGAGCAAATGTCCTATACGAACCGCTCTGACAAAGACGATTTGAAGCTCGCACCTGACGAATAGAAGAAGCAAATATGACCGCATGCCGTTTACATAGCTTGCAATGTGCCAGACGCATTTGCGTATACTCGTTTTACAGTCAGCAAAATGCAAAAGAAATGTTGATCAGACGCATGAACACTAAAAAAATAGCTCTCATTTTCTTGCAACTGTCGAGTCTTGCAGAAAAATCAATCAGTTGGATTATTCGTGTAAGTTTGTACTGAGTAACTTTTAAGTTTCCAATGCTTGCGAACATCCATAGGCCTGTCCGGTGGTTTGTGTGGTTATATTTATATATAATTATAAGTTAGGAATATGACGGAATATTTCATTCCTTTACGTTAGTTAACCTTGTGCGTTTGTATCGAGGAAACGGGACCGTCTTGCAAGTGCAAATAATTGGATGCAACATTGTCTTGCAGACAAAACAATGCCGTCTTGCAACTGCAAGAGCTCGCATGCGATGGTATTGCGGACAGATAAACGTTTTTTTTAAATGCTGTGCGTTTTAAAAACGAGTTTTATCCACATCCAGTCCCCAAAGTCCCCCGAAGTTACGCCTATGCTTACCCTAAACATGCCGCTACGATCCCGACACATCCGACGCCGGAGCCGAGTTCAATGACACTGCGATTTTCCAGAAAGCCGGAGTTTTTCAGACATTGCCTTTCCAAATATTTCGCTAAAACTATAGCTCCATCCCAAACCACACAATTCACGTCTCCTTCTAGTTTTTGACGAAAACGAAGAGTTGTGGTTTTGTCCACGTGGTCTATCTCTAGTTCGCGGACAAAAGTATCGTCCATTTTAAAAAAAAATGTATAACAAGTAGAACTACAACACGGGATATTTAAAATCGATAAGAAGAAGCGTTAAAATTAAACTTAGAGATATTAGAAAATTAGAACTGTAAGTAGGGAAAAGGGAAGACTTAAAACGTATCGATGCCACGCCGACTGAGAGTTGAATCGAAATTTCCATAGGCGGGGTTATAGTTAGAGAAAAGGGGATAAGTAAGTCCAACCACTTTATTTTATTATTGTTTATTTTTGTGGCAGATCCAGGCAACCAGAAACCTAAGTGAAGAATTGTGATGTTTCGAAACAACTGTAATAATTCTTATAGTAAGTCATTCTGAAATAATGCTGTAACTTGGTTCAGGCTATAAAATAATAATATCATCTTTATACATAAATCAACAGTGTGTAATTCATTATGGTGAAGTTTAGCTAAAGCTATTGTTACAGTTAACCATATGAATAGAAAATACAGACTGTGAAGAAATAGAAACAATAATACCTTTCTAATGAGTTTCCACATTTCAAATTTCGCACCAAATAAATTTAACCTCCATTTATGCATCGATAACCTTCACACTTACAAAGTACTGACTTATTGACTACATAGAATATAGGAAGACAACGTTATACAAACGAAAAAAATACTGCATGGTGGAACCATCAGCCTTCAGGTATCTGACTTGCTTATGAAAACAGGGCGAATAATGGCTTCATGCTTATCTGGAATACTATTATATTTACTTGTAGTATTATAAGGATCATAGGAAAAGGTAGGGATAATGATGGAGTACTCTCATATCAGTGTAAATGACAGTGAGTATTGAAATGTGCCCCTTAGCAGTAATCGGAGGTAGGAAAAGCTGAGAGCCTGGTAATTAGGCCACCTTTAGCCCTTTTTGCATATTTCGTATCGATACTATGATAAACCATACAAGTTTATTTTTTTTAGTTGGTCGAACTTGTCTTCTACTCATGAAGGTTAGGATCAGATCTTCCGCTTTCAAATTACTTTCTACTACTTTTATACTGGGTACCAATACTATACGATGTTGAAACTGAAGCCAAATGTCCTCAAACCTAAACTAAGCAATGATGCATTCACATTTATCAAATAACATCATACCTTGGGACAAGCATGCACTGAGTCATGATTTTTCACTCTTCAAAAATGTACCTGTTGCTACCTTTCTCCAATACAGTGACTATAATACTAATTATAACACCAGAACAAAGCAGGACCTGAGCATACCTTCGCATACGCGCAATGTTTGAAAAATCACCAGTCTACAACTACACCAAAACATTTAATAATTGGCGAGCAACACTCAGGAATGTCAAATGTCCAATGGGGTTCTAGAAGGAGTTTGTTAGCAGAAAAATGCTATTACTTAGTAGCTAAGTGTACCTTGCAAAAAGCAAATCCTTTGCATTTGTATTATATATTTTTACTGTGTTTATTTCATCTGAATACCTTTTAGCATTTTATTTCCTACTTTTAAGTATCACTATAATTTTTGCGTTATACTTTTTAATTTGGTATTGAATTCAATTATTTATTGTCTGCTTTGTGGGTGTGTGTCCATGTTTCGGTTCTTTAAAGAGTGTGATTTTTTCTATTTGTTATACACGTCTTTGGTATATGTCCCTGTGCTTAAAGATATTTATAATTTATTATGATATAGCTACTAATAAAGCATATGTATACCATATTTATGATTCGATA